CTGGACACCAAGCCCGAGGTTAGGGCTGCATGAGGCTCCCACACAGCCCTCCTCAGGCCCCCTTCCCCCCACGGCGTGTGGGCACCCTGCATGAATGATGGTACCCTTCATACGAGGCCATGGTGGGTGCTGTGTGGAGGGGTGGTCTGAATGAGGGTAGCTCCCTGGGCTTCCCTCAGCTTCCTCTAAGCCATCCCAGGAGGGGATCTTCCCAGGACCCCCCCTTCCCCCAAAGCAGACACTGTGCTCACTTGCCCCACCTCTATCCAATGCACACCTGCCCCACCCCTGCCCAACGCACACCTGCCCCACTTCTGCCCAATGCACACCTGTTCCACCTCTACCCAACGCACACCTGCCCCACCTCTGCCCAATGCACACCTGTTCCACCTCTAATCAACGCATACCTGTTCCACCTCTACTCAAGGCACATCTGCCCTATGGCTTCCCACTGGCCTAAGGAGGAAGCAAAGAATAGGGACCAAAACTACTTGGCTGGAAGCCAGCCAGAGAGGGCACCCAACAGCCACAGGACTCGAAAGATCATTTTGGACCAACACACGCCATGGTCTCAGCCTAACCCTTCTTCCCAAGCTGAGGAGCTCAGATCTCCCTCCTGAGCCTCTGACTGGTCAGGCCAGTTCTGCCTCCTAGCCTGACCATACTCTCCACATCAGTCAACTCCCTCTCAACCTGGGAACCTCAGCTGTCCTGGCCTCTGACTTTAAGCCATCCAGTCAACCAGGGTCTTCACTAAGGTCCAACTCACAGAGATAAGACCACTCTTGGGTTTTCCAGCCTAGGCAACAACCTCACCTAACAACAACAAAAAAACAGCTCAGGGACCAGCAGGTGGCGTGGTGGTTGGCACTCTGGACTCCCACGGGACCTACCATAGTTCAGGCCATGGACCTAGCAGCTTGCTTTCTCACTCCCCCTCCCTCCCATCTCTTATTTAAATTAAAAATAATAATAAATAAATAAAATTAAAATAATTATTTAAAAAACCCCAGCTCATTTCTGAGAACTAGAAAAGGAAGGGTGGGTTTCAATCTGGTGAGGTTGAGGTGGGTGGGGGGAGTCTGGGTCAAATCAAGAAAGGCACTGGGCTTGGGGCCAGCAGGTGGCGTGGTAGTTAAAAGTGCTGGGCTCCCACATGGCTGACCATGGTTCGAGTCCTGGACCAGGCAGCTTGCTTTATCACTTTCCCTCTCTCTCTCGTTCTGTCCATCTCTCCAGCGAGTGCGAGGGGAAGGGGGAAAGGGAGAGGGGAGGGGAAGGGGAGGGGGAGGAGAAATAATAATGCTCTGGGCTTTGGAAGTATGTGCCTGAAAGACCCAGGGCAGCAGGCCCTGGCGTGAGCTGGAGGCCCAGGAGCAGGTTCAGGGACATTTCAGGGAGATGAATAGCAGTGGATTAGCAAACCACAGCAACGCCCTCAGCCTAGCCCCCCACAGCCCTTCCCAGTCCCCATCTCCTTCCCACAGCACCAGCCAAGCTCCCTTTCCTGCCAGCCCTCTAGCCATTGTCTGCAGCAGGCATTTTGGCACTTGATGGAATTCCACTTCAAACCAGAAAACTGAAATGTTGGGAGGGATCTTGTGGTCACAGAGGACCACCTCCTACTCGGGCAAGAATCCTCCTTCAGGATCCTCACAGCTGCTATGCACAGCCTCCAGGCGTTCCTAGTGTATGAGTCTCCTCTCCCTAAGTGGATCACAAACTCCCAGAGGAGAGCAGGGGCCAGCGCCCTCCCTCCATGGCCACCCTCCTAGGAGCCCGGAGGCCAGCACAGGGCTGAGCACCGAGGACTCAGTGAGGGGTCTGTGCATTACAGGCCATCCAAAAGCAACTCTCACTCTCAAAAGATGTTCTCCAAATGTGTTTACCCAGCAGCTGGAGTTTCAAGGGGCAGGCATCTGAAACCCAAATAAGTCAATATTTACCCATGAGCTAGCAAAGCAACAGGCCCTGGGGAGGGGGTGCACTCCAGGCTGGGGGAAAACAGTGACTGGGAATACAGAGGAAGGGTGAAGAGAGCGGGGAGGCCACACTCCTACTTTTTCCTGAGTCAACCATCATCACTACTCGTTTTCTTTTTCTTTTTAAATAATCATGTTATTTAACTTTACTTATTTATTTTAATTTGACTAGAGAGGGACAGAGTGAGCGAATGAGCGAGAGAGAGGGGAACATGAGAAAGCAAGCCGTCAGGTCCAGGATTCGATCCATGGTCGGCCATGTGGCAGTCCAGCACCCTTTACCAGCACGCCACCTTCCGACCCCATCACTATTGTTCTCTCCACTATATTCTTCAATAAGTTTCCCTTACTCTTGGCCCTTTGGACTTCCCCACATACAGAGTCTATGAGAAAAACTTGGAAATGGACGAAGATTCGAAAATGAGACGCACTGCTAGAGACTGGTGTGGATTGATGCTGGAGGCTATTTTTTCTATTCTGAACGCTACAGTTGTTATTATCTTAGTCTCCAACAAGGGGTGAGACTAGGTCACATTCTCAGAAAGCTGGCTGCGTCTCCAGCTGTAATCTCAAGCAGTACCCCCCCACACACACATACACACGCACCCCAACCCCCGCTAAGCCAGGCCTGTCCAGAACCAAGGTGGGCCCAGGCCTAAAAGAACATACTGACTCCAGGGAACACAGAGTTTTTTTGTTTGTTTGTTTTTTTGGAGAGATTTTCAATATAGGGCGCGTGCGCTCGCCAGACAGACAGAGAGACATAGAGACAGAAAGCGAGAAATCACCCCCCCAGGGGGGATGGTCACGCCGCAATCCCTTCTCCTCCATTCTCCTCTCGGGATCTTGGGCACGCATGCACACGCACCCGGCGTGAGTTTTAAGCCACCGGGTCCGGGACACGAACCGCAGTCGACTACATGGGAGTCCAGCGAAACAGCCATTACGCTAACTGCTGGTTCCCGGGAACACAGAGCTTTCACACTCAAGTCTCGGGCTCTCCTTGGCCCCACTCAACCAGAGGAAAAAGGACATAGACTCTGTGGGCAGGTCCCTGCCAGCACTGGGAGACACGAACAGGAAGGAAGGAAGCCAACAGCCACCGAGGGCCACTCCACCTTCTGCCACGTTATAACCCTGCACAGTGCCTGGCAGATAGTGGACAGAGGGCGAGTATTTTCTTTCCTTTTTTTTTTTAAGGATTATTTATGGGGCTGGCAGGTGGCATGGTGGTTAAGTGTACCAGAGTCACATATGGCTGACTGCAGTTCAAGTCCTGGACCTGGCAGCTTCCTTTCTCTCTCTCTCTCTCTCTTGTTTTTTCCCTGTTTGGTCAAATTAATAATAAGTAAATAGGGACCAGTGGGTGGTGTGTTGGTTAAGGCGCCGGACACTCCCTCATGGCTGGCCACCGTTCTAGTCCCAGACCTGGTGGTTTGCTTTCTCACTTTCCCTCTCTCTCTTTCTTTCTCTCTCTGTGTCTCTCTCTGGTCAAATTAAAATAAGTGGATGAATAAGTAAAATTTTAAAAATAATAGTAAGTAAATATTTTTAAAAAGAATTATTTAATTTTATTAATTATTATTATTTAAATTTGCTATAGGGCACATGTACTGATCAGAGAGAAGGAATGAGAGAGGTAAAGTGAGAAAGCGAGCCACCAGGTTCAGGACTGAAACCACAGTCAGCCATGTGGGAGTCCAGCACCTTAACCACCATGCCATCTGCTGGCCCCCAGAGTATTTTCTGAATGAATCCTGTTCTCTTTCTTTCTTTTCTTCCTTTCTTTCTTTCTTTCTTTCTTTCTTTCTTTCTTTCTTTCTTTCTTTCTTTCTTTTTTTAGAGAGAGAGAATTTTGCTATAGGGCACTTGCACTCGCCAGAGAAACGGAGAGACAGAAAGCCAGAAAGCGAGAAATCACCCCCCAGGGGGAATGGCCATGCCACAATCCCTTCTCCTCCATTCTCCTCTCAGGATCTTGGGCATGCTCACACAGGTGTGTGGCCTGAGTTTAAGCCACCAGCTCTGGGACACAAACCATGATCGACTTCATGGAAGTCCAGCGTCGTAACCATTACACCACCTGCTGGTCCTGTCTGTTCTTAAGCTGGCCTCTACTGCAGATGAGACTCATGTGACAGAACTAGAGGAGAGTTAGAGCGGTGAGATAGGAATAGTGTGCTGTCACCACCCACAGGGAGGGTGCCGTTGGCAGGGTGGGAGCTGTGATTGGAAGGGGTGGGGTGACCCCTGAAGGATGGGGTGGTGCTGGGACACTGCATAGTGACAGGGACACACCCCAGACAGTGAAGACCAGACAGAAGGTAAGGGAGTGGGGGCAGGGCGGAGCAGGGAAAGCAAATAAAAAAACAAATAAATACAAAATTAAAAAGTCAAGTAGAGGAAACTCGCTTTATGGGAGAGAGGGAACGAGCCGGGACAGGTCTGGGACCTAAGGGTGGCCGTGGAGATGTGCTTCTCTGCTGGCAGTGGATGGGCACAGACGCAAGTGAGAAGTCAGGGCAGAGGAGCCAGCACCACGGGGTGGAGTGGTGCCATCAGTGGGGTCGCAAGAAGTGATGCCCTCCAGGCCAGGGCCCAAGGGCGAGAGAAGCATTTCTTTCTTTTCTTTTGGTTTGCTCTAGGGCACGTGTGCATGCACTCACAGGGGAGAGACAGAGAGAGAGGGAAGGGAGAGCAAGAATGCACCCCAGAGGGGATGGCCACACTGCAATTCCTTCTCCTCTATTCTCTTCCTGGGATTTGGGGCATGCATGCACCCATACCCTGTGTGTCCCTCAAGTCACCACCTCCGGAACTTCAACAGTGCAGCTGGCCAGGTGGGATCCAGCTGTCTTAACCACCAGGGCACCAGCTGGCTCAGGCAGGAAGCCTTTGGTTTTGTTGGTTTTGCTATAGGGTATATGTGCTCACTAAAGAGAGAGAGAGAGAAAGGGAGAGAAAGCACTCCCCAGGAGGGTGACCATACCAAAATCTCATCCCCTCTAGGGATTTTGGGCATGCACACACATGCGTCCGGCCTGTTTTTTAAACCAGCAGGTTCAGGATTCAAACTGTGCTCTCGGCCATGTGGGATCCACCCCCCTTAACCCCTTAATCACCATGCAACTGGCTGGCCCACACAAATAATGTTCTTGACAGACTGTTACATGACCTTTTGTACAGAATACACACACACACACACACACACACCTCTGATGCTCAAGTCTCCCAGGTTTTTCTAGCCTTAATATCTTTGCTTCCCCCTCTGAAAACACAGCTCCCAAAAACCTCCCTGGGAACCAGCAGTTAGCGTAATGGCTATGTCGCTGGACTCCCACGTAGTCGATCGCGGTTCATGTCCCGGACCCGATGGCTTAAAACTCATGCCAGGTGTGTGTGTGTGCCCAAGATCCCGAGAAGAGAATGAAGGAGAAGGGATTGCGGTGTGGCCATCCCCCCTGGGGGGTGATTTCTCGCTTTCTGTCGCTATGTCTCTCTCTGTCTGTCTGGCGAGCGCACGCGCCCTACAGCGAAAATCTCTCAAAAAACAAACAAACAAACAAAAAAAACTCATGCCGGGCGCGTGTGTGTGCGTGCCCAAGATCCCGAGAAGAGAATGAAGGAGAAGGGATTGCGGTGTGGCCATCCCCCCTGGGGGGTGATTTCTCGCTTTCTGTCGCTATGTCTCTCTCTGTCTGTCTGGCGAGCGCACGCGCCCTACAGGGAAAACCTCTCCAAAAAAAAAAAAAAAAAAAACCAAAACCTGCCTGACCTGTCTTTGTCTCCCCTCTCTCCTGTTCAGAACCTCTCCTGTTTAGAAACCCTGGTTTAGCTGTCATCAGATGGACAGGTGCAGGGACCATGTGCCAGCTTCTCCCTAGGTTACCCTCAGCTGAGCTCAGAGGCTAAGAGCAGTCCTCTGCTTTGCATCCCTCTGTTGTTCAAATCCGGCTTCTGCCCCTCACCAGCTGAGCACATGAGACTGAGGACATGACCTTTCAGGCCCTCCACTTCCTCATCTGTAAAGTGTTGAGCATTTTAAAAAGTGTTGAGTATTTTTAATACCTACTCACAAGGTTAGCTAAGAATTATGTAACATGGTATAAATAAAAAGCTTAGTGCCATGCTTGACATGCCGTAAATAATAAATAAGACCTATATTATTGATACAGTCTGAATTTCCCTAGATCTCTTTGTTCAACAGTTAGATTCCTAAAAACCGCACAATACTTGTCAGTAAGACCTCTTAGATAGTTTTACCAAAAGGCACAGCCATTATGGTCAGCAGATAGTGTGGTGGGGAAGGTGCTAGACTCCCACGTGGTTCACCACCCATTCAAGTGCTGGACCCGGTATTTTGAAAATCATACCAGCGGAGTGATTTCTCACTTTCTGTCTCTGTCTTCCCAGTGCGCACACATGCCGTACAGAAAAAAATCTTTCAAAAGAAAAAAAAAAAGAAGAAGAAAGAAAATCACGCCTGCATGTGTGTCCAAAATCCTAGGAGGAGAATAGAGGGGAAGGGATTGCCATCCCTCCTGGGGGGGCTGATTTCTTACTTTCCCTTCCACTCACAGTCTCTCTTCTGCAAGTGCATGTGCCCTATGGTAAAAACCTAAAAAAATTAAAAAATAAAAATAAAAATAACTCAGCCATGTAAGGTCTTCCCTACTGCAGATGTGTGTATTTCATTGTTTCTTTTTAAAAAAAAAATTATTTCATTTAACTTTATTAATTTATTGTAATTTGACCAGAGAGGAACAGAGGGAGAGAGAGAGAAAGAGAGGGAAAGTGAAAGAGCAAGCCAAGTCCTGGATTTGAACACAGTCGGCCATGTGGGAGTCCAGTGCCCTTAACCACCACGCCACCTGCTGGCCCCTGTGTATTTCATTGTTTCTAACCAGACACAGAACTTACGCGGTCACTGACAACCAGCAACTGCTATACTTTATGTCCATCAGGCAGTAGCTGAACTACTCCAGAGATTGGTGTTTTGTTTGGTTTTGGTTTGGTTTTTAGTTTGCTATAGGGTGCTTATACTAGCAGGATGGGGGTGAGGGATGAGAAATCACCCCTCCGGGGGTGGGCCATGCCACAGTCCCTTCTCTGTTCCCCTCTCGAGATGTTGGGCACACATGCACACACACACGCCGGGCATGATTTTCAAGCTGTCGGGTTCAGGACTCAAACCTCTTAATCGGCCATGTGGGATTCAGTTACCTTAACCTCCGTGCCACTGGCCCAGGGATTGCGTTCCTAATTCCTATGGTAAACTAGATGACTAGATGTGGGGAGATCAAATGCTTCAGCTGACTGGCTAACGACTCCCCAGGCCTTTTGATGCTGCTGGCTCACCTGTGCGCCTGTGCGGGCGGAGTAACCACAAGTTCGCAGGAGAGAGGGCTACCTACACGTGAATCCATTCAGGGAATTAATCATTCCCTCTCCCACAGCAGCTTTGTTCCTACTGTCTACACCCGCCACCATGTCTGGTACAGAGGAAATTTCTAAGAAATCCTCGTCGATTGACTGAGTCATCTAGAAGAGAAGAGAAAGGAGAGGACAAGGGGACCGGCAGGTGGTGTGGTGGTAAAGGGCACTGAGCTCCCACATGGCTCCACCACAGTTCAAGTCCCAGACTGGTGGCTTGCTTTCTCACTTTCTCTTTTTCTCTCTGACCCTCTCTGGGCAAATTGAAGAATAAATAAAGTTAAAATAATTCTTTAAAAGAAAATAATGGAGAGGAAGAAAGGCCAGGTAGGGAAGGGGATGGGAACAGAGAAAGGGGCAGGAGTAAAAGAAGAGGCAGCAGGGTGCCAGCGGGTGGCATGGTGTTGGGGCACTGGACTCCCACATAATCAGCCATGGTCCAGATCTGGTGGCTTCCTTTCTCACTATCCTTCTCTCTCTTTCTCTTTCTCTCTTTTTCTTTCTGTCTCTCTAGTGAGCACAGGTGCCGTATAGCAAATTTTAAAATAACAATACTAATAAAAATAAAGTTTAATCATTCATTTAAAAAAAAACTTTTGTTTTTTCTTTCTTTTTTTTTTTTTTTAAAAAAAAGAAGACAGTGGATGGGGCCAGGGGAGGGGATGCGTATATTACACCTTTCCGGGCCCTGACACACTCTAGCCCTCAGGTGTACCTATGAGAGTCCCAAGGCTTTCCAGGGCTCGCTAACAAATTACCCTAGCCTCAGCCTTCAGCTTCAGGAGTTACTTCTTCACTCCAAAAGCTGAGGGCCAGCGAGACCACCCCTAACCCTGACCCATTCTTGGAGCCTCTCTCCATTTCCTGCCATGGCCTGGGAGCTCAGGGCTACCTTCCTGCCCCACTTCCTCTTCCTGCCTCCAGTTCCCCACAGATAAAGCCATCCAGGCATCAGGACCCCCCGGCCAGGCCACATCCATCACACCCCTGCCAGCTTCTCCAGCGCAGAACCTTAAAGCAGAACATTAAAACGTAGAACCTGCTTCCTGCCCAGCCTATCTTTTTGGGATCCCCAGAGGAGGGGCAAACTGGCAGGAGCTGTCTCCGCCACCTTTGCCTTGGAGATGGCAAGTGAGGACAGAGGCCAGAGTCTGCAGCAGGAGAGGGGTGACTCAACCAGGAATGTGTCACCCAATAGGGAGGTTAAGAGGGAGCCAGGCCCATGCACCCTGATAACTCCAGGGAACTTTTACAGTAAACGCCTCCC